CAGCCATGTTGGCTAGATAGTCGTTATGAGACGTTCGAAGAGGACGGACGTGTCGAACCACGCGGCTTGCGAGATTGCATCATAAAGCGTAATTCGGTACAAAACAGGTATCACGACATGCCGTATCGTTGCTAGTCTGTAATTAGACGACGCGTAACGCGGAATAAAGTGTGTAAATCGCGTAATAGGGAAAATATCCCTTAGTGACCGCGACAGCGCGGAAATTGGCGAGTAAACGCCCAAATCGGTAATAATACGTGCGCGGCACGGCTACCGGATAACCGACGCGAGTAATTAGCGCGGTATTAACGAGGTCATAACCCCAGCAACTCGTTGTGCGCAGTAGGTGACGAAATATCATGCCACCTTGTCGGGCGGCCATCTTGTGTAACGGCCATTTCGTCGTGAGTGCGACGCGACGCGACAACAAAGGTTAGAGGGAGACGTCGTAACAAAGGAGAGATAGTCTTATAGTGTGAATCTAGTGTGAGTGAGCGAGTTGTGTGAATGCGGGCCGAATAAATAAATTATTGGTGTTGTTTTAATAAAGATTCTATAAGTTGTTACACCAAACGAGCCCCACGCGTAGTTATTTCGCGAACATCACCATAACCATAAATAATTATACATCGCTGCACTTCGACGGAGAAATTTCCGGAACACCAGACATCTCTACCAAAGGGCCAATCGAAGCAAGGCGTAGAAGGAAGTCACCAATAAGGGGACGTCGCGCGTGCTGAGCCCGATTCCATGGTACAACCTGGATTCAACATCCTTCTCTGTTAGATGGGAAAACAGAGTGGCGACCGTAAGGTAAGACAGATTACCTATGAAATAACACGAATTAATTATTTAAATAACGGAATACCCGAGATCGCAAAGATCCGACATAGTGATCCGGTCACAACCTAACCTTTTCTTGAAAGGTGTGTTGATTTTATGACTCTTTAGAGAATTTTTTTTATGCAGGAAGTGCTGTGTATTTGGCTGTAAAAATGTATACAAAAAAGGGAAACACCAAAAAAAAGAAAATTCATTTCTTTGCTTTCGTTATTTCCCATCAAATTCTGACATAAGAAATATGTGGATCACTAATGTGAGACAAATAAATGGATATTCTTGGCAGCCTATGAATTCATCAGTTGTATGCTCTGTGAGTTATAACTTATATAGCTAAAATATTTTTTATAAGATGTTTCTTTTGTTTCATGATTTTATAATATTTTTTCCAGAAGCATTTTGACGTTTCTTCTTGGGAGAAAATTAGAGAGGATGGGAAGAGGAAGCTTAAATTCGGTGCAGTGCCTTCTATTTTTAATAATCTTGCGCAGATATCTGCAAATGATCACATCTATTCACGAACATTGAAAGATATTACTAACACAAGGACATTTTTACCGGTAAGTCTACACGTATCAAAAGAAAATATTATAAACATTTTATTTTTTATATTTTTTAAATTTGTCATCAGTATCTTTCTAATTTTGAAGATATATGCTAATTTTAAATATTAATTATAAATATTAATTATAAATATATGTGTTTTATATATATGTACGTATACACACAAATGGAAACAAATAAATCACATTTATCTGGTTGTGATCACACATATTCAAATAAAGCAATCTCCAATAATAAAACTTTATTGACATTTGCTGATAGTTCTGTAAGTTATTTTTTGATATTTTCATACATTTGATACCTTTGAATTTTTATAATCATCACACACTCTAGTAAATAAAAAAATTCCTAGTCTTTGATTCAATTTTTTTATATTTTCAGATAAAGAAAACGTCTGTAAGTATTTCAACAAATACGATAGAAAAGAACATATCAAAAACACCAGAAGTTGAGTCAGATCTTATCGATAATGGAAACTCTGATATTATATTAAATAATTCAGATATACCTACAAATACATGTACTATTATACCAAGTAATGCTTTGAATAGTCTTTCGGAATTGATGGAAGAAGTTGACAATGCTGTAACTGTTCAAACTATCAAAGAGCAAAATATAGATAATATGACTGTGTCTTTAAAAAAGGAAAATGAGCAACTAAAAAAAGAATTGGCAAGAGTTAAGAAAATTGCTGATAAGGTGCATCAAGAAAATGAGACGTTACGAAAAAGCAATAAAAAGTTACGTCGAGAAAAAGAAAGTTTTACTAATATAAAAAAAAATAGATGAAAACGAATTGCAAATCTTGAATAAAGATCAAAAGAAGGCAATTTACAGAAAAAATTACCAAGGTTTACAATGGAAACCAAATACTGTGAAACAGGCTTTAATTTTAAGATTAAAATGTGGATCATCAGGATACAAAGAGGTACAAAAGCATATTCCTTTACTATCTATCCGGACTTTACAAAAAAAAATAGAACATATTGAATTCAGACCAGGAATTTTACAACAAACTTTTGATTTACTTGCGGAAGAAATTAAACATAATACAGAAGATTGGAAAGATAGTGTACTAGCATTGGATGAAATGTCTATTGAACCAGGAGAAATGTTTGATCCTAGTACAAAGGAATTTATCGGAAAAACTATGCTTGCTTCTCATTCCGGTGTCGCAAACAAAGTTTTGGTCTTTCTTCTTGGTGGCATTACTGTTCGATGGAAACAAGCTGTTTGTTTTCACCTAACTGGCTCTAAAGTAAAAGATGCAGACGAAGGTGCTACAGGACAAGCATATGCAAACGTAATCAAAGATATCATAGACCGTGGTGAAAGAATTGGCCTACGTATTCATTGTGTTGTGAGTGATATGGGTCCTGACAATAGAAGCATGTGGAAGACTGGAAGGCTTTTGGCATCATGGCAAATCGATCTAAAGTGATATCTAGTATGCCTCATCCTGTTAGATCTTTATCTCGATTATATATAATGCCAGATGTTCCTCATCTGTTTAAATCCATTAGATCAATGATTGTAAACAATAAAGTCCTTTATGACAATCTTGTGTTTCGCGGGTTTTCTCCGTGTTCAAATCCATTCTTGGAATGCCAACGTTTCGT